TCTGAAGAAATACTTCCACAATTTGTCGAACGTTCCTCAAAACCGGTGAGTTGTTGTTTCACTAGTTTTATGTATAAGGGAGGACAGATTCTCTCACTAGCTTAATTTTTGAGTAAACAAAGTATTTAACCGAGTAGTAAACCTTGGCAACGATTTGCAAAACGTCAACACTCAACAGTGACGGAAGACCCGGCACATCCGTTAAAGTGGTCAATTCGTAAAAAAGAATCTAGAGTTTCGCGTTTTTTTTTTTAAACAACTTGTTGTGATTCTGCATGAATGAATTTGGATTTGAGACCAGGATGTGCACCCTGTTGGCCACAGGACGGTCCTGTGGAAGATTCGCAACACCCGTAAAGGTGGTCAGTTCGTAGAAAAGAACCTAGCGCTCATCGATTTTTTTTCGAAATCACTTATTTTGATGCTACATTAATGAAGTTTGAATCTGGGCCCAGCATATGCCCTCTGCTGGCCAAAGACTTCCGTTAAAGTTGCGGTTCGTAAAAAAAATCCAAGAGACAATCCTAGGGGCAAGACAGCTCCTAATCATGAGAAATTTCTGAGCTGCTTTTGATGCACCTCGAGTAACTCACATTGCACAGTGAGAAAGATCACTGTCATTTGCTTTCTCACTTTTCGCATCACAGCAACATATGAAGGCGCACCTTCATGCAAACGTGAAAAGCTGCTGTCAATCAAAACAACAAGAAAAAAAAACATGTTTACAGAACGCAATAACTCAGCGAAACTCGGAGACACTTAAATTGATTGATTTGATTATCCTGCATCATCTCTGCTTAATAACCTCCGTTCAACCCTTACCAACTGTGAACGTGAACGGAACCTATTGCTGCCTAGCTGCATTACACTTACCAAGGGCGAATGCTTGTCCGGCTTGATATGGTGGAAAAACTCGATCTGCCTGACCTGACGTACTACAATACTCGTCGAAGCAAGCCCGTTCCCATGGCTTGGCTAACTGCCGCTGGATGAAACTGCGAAACGAGCTCTGAATTACCACTGTGCCGTTCTAGTGACGGTGGACATCCATCTTTCCTCTTTTGATGCTACTGCTATGCCTTCCGGATGATCGTGATACGGTCCCGTTTCTGCGATACACCACCATGATTTTACTACAACCGTCGACGGTAGTCTCCTTTAAAGTATAACATCACTACATACGTGTGTTCTTCGGTTTCTCGTTGGCTAAGTCCATAGCGGCAGCGCTGACGATATCGAGTGATTGGTAGCGATCTTGTGAACTTAATCACGTCTCATGACGATCCTGTACTTGGTCTTAACATGGCCGTAGGAATGTAAAGAGAAAGTCGATGGAGATAATCTGTCAGCTTGATTTGTTCTTCGCCTTCCTGACCGGTTTTCACTTCGATTTCGTTCGGTTGATCGTTGATGGGCTGAAGTCCGGACGAGGATCGCACTCACCGGAAACATTGGTAACGGTTACTTCAACGTCCTCCTTCTCTTCGGCTTGGGAAATTACGGTGGCTGCTCTGGCTGAACATTCCGCGGGAAAATCTTTACGCTGTAGTTAACTTGCATGGTGCTAGCGAGAAGGGGATCGGAGTAAGTTATTACCATTTTCAATGGGACTGCTTTTTCGACTACTGGATGATCCTTTTGAGGTGACAACTGGGACTGACTGCTGAGGAGGAAGAACAGTTGCTAAAAGCTGGCTGGAACTGTAAGTTATTGCTGGTAGTAAGCAGGCACCGGCACAGGTTCTTCCATAATATTCAAGCTATTCGAAAGCCGCAGGATACACTTGGCTTACTTTGTTTACAAACAAAACTGACGTCTAATATGAGAAGCATAGCATAATACATGGCCGGTCACAAATTCTGCAGACCTCCGCTTACTCATAAATCAAATTAAAAGCAGGAACTCAGCGATGAGTAAATTTGCCTCATATTTTCCAAATTCCCGAATATGAGAAAAGTAATGATTGGATTCACTCCGTCTTTTGTTACTATTCCTAGACTGAGTAAAATTTTCGTCAATTTTCTCATTTTCCGGCAGATTTTTGAGGTTTTCCACAGGAAAACATGAGGCAAATGTACTCATCGCTGAGTTCCTGCACTTTCTGCGATTATCAGTAAACTAAACTCAAATTTGGGTCGTTTTCATTAGCCGTGAAAAGGAATATTTGCTCTACCTGCTAGCATTGCTAATTTGGAGGGGTGTGATTTTATTTGCGAGAAATCAACGACTAAAGCCATTGTTTACAAAAGCAATTACGCCCCTTTAAAATGTTAGCACTGACTTGTTCTGAAGCTACGTGAATGATCTAAGAATATCGATTTTGCTCCACCAGGCTCAATCGATTTTGGAACTTACTTAAAATCCCGCTATTTTCCTATAGTTCTAGAAACTTCCTGATGTTTTTTAAAACTTTCCTAGACTTTTTGAAAGCCTGGAAACTTCTTAAAAAGATCTGCTATTTTTTCTGAAATTAATGGAACTGTGATGATCTTCTATTAAGTTCCCCGATTAATGGTTCCAGCATTCCTGTTCATGAAACTTTCCAGAAGTTCTCAGAATGCATTTCTTGGAAGTTCTCTGGACTTCTATGAATACCTGAAGTTCTCTGAAGTTCTGCCAATTTTGCAGAAATTTTGTAACTTTCCCTGAAATTACAGGTTCAAGTGAGTTTCTTAAAATTGAAAAGAAATCATTAATGTAGGGGAAATTGCCCCTAATTTGGGCCCATACATAAATTCAGCAATCGACTAAATTTTCAATTGCGACCAAAAATATCCATTAGTACCGTCCCAATGACGCGTTCATCTAGATAAAATTGATAAATAGCAGATTTTTTAGCGATGGGCCCAATCTTAGATCCAAAGGCCAACATTAGAGCCATTTCCCTATTTCTTAGATTTTCTCTAAAGTTCTCAAAAGTTGTCCAACCACTGTTCAGAAAATTAAGGTGCATTCCTGATGATATTGAAACTAGGGGTTTCACCCGATAACTTCGCTACTGTTCGTATTTTTATTTGTAAATCAAATATAAAATGCTTTAATGATCCAAATGTGGTTTAAAGTGAGGGGAGTCACTGTGTCAATTGGATCTGTTTTGTTGCAAATTCTGAAGCTCACGAACTCTATTACCGACTTTGATAAACTCCCTAATTTGAAAAAAAAAACAGGTCCAATTGACTTAGCTTACTTTATCATTCAATCTCACTCACTTTAAACCACATATGAATGTTAAAGGCTTTTTAGATTTAATTTTAAAATAAAAATACGAACAGTAGCGAAATTACTACAGTGAGCTCTCTATAACTCGATATTGAAGGGACCATCGAGTTATAGAATTATCGAGTTATATAATAACAATCCCATACAAAATTGCTAACACAGTAGCCATGAAATTCAATTTTACTATGGTTCTATAACTCGATATCGAGTTAGTGGACATCGAGTTGTGGAGAGTTGACTGTAGATGAAACCCCCAATTAGAACTGCCGAAAGATCTTTGAGCTTCTCCTAAGTTCTTTAGACTTACCATAAGTTTCTAAGTATATTTTTTTAATTTCCCTGAATTTTACTGAGGTTAATTGAATTGCCTTGAACTCCTACACAAGTGAATCAATTTTGAGAATTGAACCCTTTTTCGAGTGTTTTGGTCTCAGATTCAAATTCATTCATGTTGCATGACAACAGATCGTTTAAAAAATTCGCTACGAATTGGGTATTTTAAGTTTGACAAATGCATAGGATTTCAACTTCTTTTTCTGAGCACAATGATATTTTTTTTCGAACCCATAGACTTTCATCTCGATTTTTAAATCAAGATTTAAAGCAAAATAATAACTTCACTGTTTGACACTAAACTAACAAATTGACAGCTTGCACTCATACAAAGTCCCATCGAGGGGTGCTAGCATGGTGATTTTTGCTCATGTAATCGGAATTATGTAAAACAGTTCCAGTCCATAATTGATTAAATTTTGTGTTTCGGTTCCATTTTTAATGCAGATTACGAATATGCATTTACCACAATACCCTTAAATAAATCAATTGACAACCTTTACGAATGTTTCGAATCTTTCGGAGGTCAGTTTTTTGCGCCCCTGGGTCTTAGTTGTTTATCAACCTTCAATCTTTATTATAGAAAAAAAAAATATATATCACGAAGCTCTGCGATCAGCTTCAGCTCGAAGTTCGACCGGTGCGAAAGTCAAAAACAAATTAAATAGCAGTTGTAACTAAAATAGTCAACCTATCAGCCTAAAGAGCAACGCACCGGTGCGGGTGGTCTTATAATGTGCGCAATGCGCTATATTACTTTGAACAAAGTCACCTGATAAAGATTATCACACCCATTCGGCAGTTGGTTCGAAACGGGTTTCTCATACATTCTTTTTTCTATGAAAAATCCGTTTCGAATGGAATACAGCAGAGCAGAGTGTGTGTTTACAACCAATCCATCATTGAGCAAAGCAATAAACCCTATCAATAAAATCCGCATCGAGTATCTTGCACCGCGATAACCCGTATGTGACAGCCACCAATCTCACGAATCGAATTAACTCGGACACCACTTTCGGCCTATCGTAATCAAGGACCATCCCGAGAGTGAACTGAACGACGAGACCTCCACCAATCATTAGTAAAGCAGCGGCAAATTTTTGCACCAATCATAGTGGCAGCGGCGTTGCTATTGGCTCCCTCGTTTCAAATTTGGTCGAATCGAAGCAGCCAAGTCGACGAGTGCTGCGAGGTAAAAGCTCATCGTCAGTCACCCACCACCACCGTCACCGCTGAGCAAGCGAAGCAAATGCAGGGCCAGCCGCAGGAGAGTGACTGAGTTCCGATATGGAATGGCACCAATCCTGAGTACCTGCCTGCCCTCGAATGATGAGTGATTCCCGACAAAAAAAAAACACAAAATCTCCCCAAACCATACACGATTGGCCAATCAAGCTGCCACCCGCAGCAAACTTAATCAATGCAAATAATACCAGAAATGCACTCACTTCACTGTTTACACTGCTTTCTTCCGCCCGAACACTGACTGATCGAGCAAACTACGCGTGAATCACACAACCGAGATGGAAGCGTAGAATTTTTCCACGACCGCGAACTTATCACTTCAATTAAATCACTCGCGAACAGATGACTTCTGAACCGGAAATGCACTACTTCCACCAATTACCGATTACGCACGACACGATACGTGTGGAGGTGCTCCAATAGGCAGGCGGCCGATATTCTCTCGGCTCTGATTGACCAGAAATTTTTACCAATAGAAACAAAGCAGCCACAATTCGATTGGCTCAAGCGAACTTTTTGACAGACCAGTGGCGTGTCGGCCACTCACCAATCCGACGATGAGTGGCTCTCACGCGTCGGTCGCTCAGCGACCGCCAGAGAGCTCACCGGCGCGTGGTTGCTCTCGAGCGGGTGAGAAGGTTGTCTTGAGTTGTTCAATGCGACGTTTGCACTGAAGGAATTTGAACGTTGATTTCGGTCGCTTTGGCTCGACTGAGAGGGAGAAGCAGACTCGACCAATTGATTTCTCGACACAAGATCTCACTAACACAACCTTGCTAATGTAGCCGTGTAAAATCGATTTGTTTATTATTTTAGCTGCCAAAATGTTGACTTGACATCGGTTTGTTTTTTTTTATTTTCAACCAGTAAAACGCATGCATTAGTGAATCTGCTCACTAATACTAACGGTGGTAGAGAACTCTTTATGAACGTCAAAAGAAGCCCAGAATCAAGCTGTCTAGAACTGTCAGTGAACAAGGTGGTATTGGAATATTGCGTAAAGTAATTTATGACAAACTGTCGTTTCCAGCTTTCTTATTCAATGCGCATTCGGAAAAAAAAATAACCATACAACCATCTATTGACAACAATCGATATTATTGTAAGTAAATTTAAAATGGTGTTATTACAATAGATCTACACATCAAGTTGTTTTTACAGTTGTCGGTAAACATTTTACTGACTTTCAAACAGCTGAACATTCGGTAATCAGTTCGGTAAAAGTTTGGTTTACTGAACGATCAGTAAACTTGCAATGTATACTCATAGAAAGGCACGGTAAAAGTGGATACTACAATTCTTCCCCCTTTGGAGAACTTATTGTAATATTCGGAACTTGACCTTCGCCAAACTTTTATGTTCACCATAATTCAACAAAACATTAAACTTCAATTTGAAATTCAGAAATTTACAACATAATGAATTCGAAAATGTAAACTAATCAGAACTTGTAACAGAATTCTTCATCCATCTTCATTTTTCTTTTTCGCTTTGATCTTCTTGGTTCTTCGATATCTGAATTAATCAGCTTTTTCTTTCTTCGCTTCGGAACTGGGTCTCGTTCGGCATCTTGGTCTTTTGCCGTCTCAGCTTCGTCAATAGCGGTGGTACTGTCGGGTTCTTGGTCGCGGTTCGTATCCTTTTGCCGTACCACTCCCCCCTATTCTGCGAGTCACGTGACTCTCTCTCACCGGTGAGGTGACAATAGTCACCTCGTGAGAGGTGACTCTCCATTTGATTTGCATGGAGAGTCACCTCACACGAGGTGACAATTGTCACCTCACCGGTGAGAGAGAGTCACGTGACTCGCAGAATAAGGGGGACTATGTTGGGCCGTTGCCATTCTGAAGCTTCGCTTGAACTGGCCCTGTTAGTCTTCATTTGGCTGCGATGCGCCATTACGTCCGCGCTTCCAGCATGTATCTGGAATATGTTTTGAGAGTACTTTTTAATGAATGTTGCTCTAATCCATTTTGCGGGATTATGTGGGTTATTATTCTTGTACCATATTTCATCACCAGCCATCAGGTTATCTATTGAATCATTAGAATGTCTCGGGAATGCCCCGCCCAACCTAGGTTGGATGATTTCATCCTCTGGCGGTGGTACTGATAATTGCATTTTGTAATGTTTTTTTGGGTTTACTAAATCTAAAATAGTCCTTGGGGCATAAGAAAATATTCTTTCCGACGGAAAATACCCGTCACTAGTCAAATTATTGTTTCTAAAATTAAATAGAAACAGGTTAATGTGGTCTTCCGGATCTAACTCTCCAATCTCCGGTTCCATTAAGAATCTCTTCAACACTTCTTTAACCGTTCTGACCATTCTTTCAGCTTGTCCGTTGCTGGACTTTTCATCACCTTGATACCTTGCCTTTCAAGAAAACCTATGAAACTGTGAGAGTTAAATGGAGGACCATTGTTCGACAATAAGACATCTGGTAACCCAAAACGAGCGAAAAATGCTACTAGCTTTCTTAACACCATATTACAATTAGTTCCTTGTTTCATCCATTCGATTTCAATCCATTTGGAGAAGCTATCAACGATTAAAAGGTAGGGTAGAGAACTACTTCAGCCTAATCGCCCATTTTGGGCCTATCGAGCAGAAAACCTCAAATAAATCCATAATTTCAGAGTCAACAAGTCAATTATGCATTTGGTATGATACTTTAGTTAATAAGCTTCCGAACGAAGTCGATGAGAACGCGTGATATGAAGGTTTGCAACAATTATTCCCAAAAACGAAAGAAGTGCTCCGACCGAATCAATTTTTATCTTCATCCTATAGGCCGAAGTGAATTCAATGGCGTTTCAATGCGTTAGGCCGAGTTTAGAATCCGTAGGCCGAGTTTGCCGTCAAGAAGCAGTGCTAGACTTTTGACAATATCTCAACGATTGGTTTCTCTTTATCAAATCTTACGGTACGTACGGAAAGGTAAATAAATTTGGAAGCCATCAGTAATAATAACATTCCGTCTGGTGCTAAACTGCGCTAGATTAAGAAAGACTAAGTACGGTTTGTGCTTAATAGGCCGGAAATGGGGTAGTTAACCCTAAGTCCGATGTTCGAAATAAAAAAAATCTATATGAACTCTGCTAAATGGTTTAGTGGTTGGTGTCCATTTGGAGGTCTCTTTAGATTTTTGGGAAATAGCCATACTGTTGCAAACATCACAGCCTGCAACATATTTTTCTATGTCTGTATTGATTCCAAACCAATAAACCATTCGCCTAGCCAAACGCTTCATCTTTACTATTCCAAAATGATTGTTGTGTAAGGTTTTCAGAACGTATTTTTGATATATTTTTAATATAATCACCCTATCCTTATAAAGTAGACAATCGTCAACCAGTTCTAAATCTTGCTGATTCGCAAAAACATCAATAAAGCGTTTGTCCACTCTTTCAGGCCAACCGTTGTGTAAAAACCATTTGATTTGTTGTAAAAATTCATCGTCTCTAGTTCCTTCCGCAATCATTTTTGAGTCAAGTAGAATCTTTTTACTAAAATTTATGCTCTTAATAATCTCAATATCAAGCTCTCCAGGGACTTCCTGCTGTAATGGAAATCTCGAACAGAAATCCGCATTACCTAGTTTATGTGAAGGTCTATACAGTATATCAAAGTCATAAATTGAAAGGTCTAGAATGAATCGCTGAAGCCTAGTGAGTGACATAAATCGAGTTCTTACCCGCTTTTCCAAATATTCCTACCAGAGGTTTATGATCTGTGTACACAGTGAAATGTTGCCCATAAAGATATTTATGAAATTTCTTGATTGTGCAAACTAATGCTAAAGCTTCCAAATGTAGAATTGGGTACTTCCTTTGAGCTTGATTCAAGGAAAATGACGTAAAACTTATCGGTTTCTCGTCATTATTTACTACATGCGCTATAAGACCGCCTAGACCATAACTTGAAGCATCCGAAATAACAACTATCGGCTTTTTAGGATCATAAAATTCTAAAAGTTTAGTGTTGATCAGCAAATTTTTGCTCTCTGCAAAGGCCTTTTGACAGTTGTTATCCCAAACATATTTGGCATTCTACTTGAGCAAATTATACAAATGATACAATTTGAAAGACAAGTGTGGTATAAACTTATGGTAATAGTTTAATAGCCCTAGGAAAGATTTCAATTCTGACTCATTCCGCGGAGCATTTGCTCTCTCAATGGTTGATATTTTATCCGGGCAAGGCATAAGCCCCTTCTCACTAATTATATGCCCCAAATAAGTCAGCTCTGATACAAAAAAAAATTGCATTTGTCATAATTAACCTTTATGTTAGCATTAGCTAACCTCTCCAATACTAATAAAAGCTTATACTTGCATTCTTCTAGGGTTTTCGCGGCAATCAGAACGTCATCCAAGTAGCATGATATGTTAGCAATACCCTCCAAAACCTTGTCCATTACCTGCTGAAAAATAGAAGCACTTGAAGAAGCCCCTTTAGCGGAAGTCTATTATAAGTGTACAACCCTTTCATGGTATTAATGACCACGAATTTCTTGGACCTTTCCGTAAGTTCTAACTGGGTGTAAGCTCCCTCTAAATCTAAAGCGGAGAAAACCTTACAATCCGCTAAGTTAGAAAAAATGTCCTGAGCAGTAGGTAATGGATAAGTATTGGGAATTAAAGATTTGTAAATTGAAACCTTACAGTCAATCACCAAACGAATATCATTATTTTTTTATCACTATAATAATTGGCGATGCCCATTCACTTGTGTCCACCGGAGTAATAACCTTTTCATTTTCTAATTTATCTAAATAATCAGCTACTTTATTTCTAAGCCTATATATGCCTTTTTGAAAATAGGAGTTTCATTATTCATCTCTAACTCTGCCTTAAAATCCTTAATAGGTGTGGAGAAATCCTTTTCGAAAAATTGTTTAAAACTTTTTTTAATTCATCAACAGCAAAATGGCTGGGCTCACCTTGTAAGTTGTTAACCAACAATGAATTTGTAAAAAAAATGCCTCCAATTTGGATATAATACATCCAGCCAAGTTCGGCCCAGTAATGGATAAAAGTCATTTTCGCAATCGAGCACTACAAGTTGCATGATTTCCACTTTTCCATTAAATTTAACCAGAACCGTTGCCTCTCCTTCAATTTTCAACTTAGTCCCATTAACAACAATTAATTGCTTGCTGTAAGTTCTTAAAGGTTTGTCAAATTTAGATAAATATTGCCTTTTACTAATAATAGAAACAGAAGAACCACAATCCACCTCCATTTCAAGGCCTTTGCCGTCAATGTTCACTTGTATCATACAAGGATTGCTGATTTTATTAATAGACGACACCAACTTGCATTCCAAATCACCTGTGTCACTGTTCTCATCGTCGGATTCCTTCGTTCGCATCCGGCTGAGGAGTTCATTTATATGTCTGTCTGCAGAAGGGCCAGGCCTGTACGAATCAACCAAATTTATTGCATCACGATGTTGATTTTTTAACTTAAAACATTTTTTTTATATGGCTCTTCAATCCACAAAAATTGCATA